TCTTTACCCCCAACTCACCCACCTGCATTACAGTTCTTCCTTTACTCTACACTTACCTGTAGCTATTCCCTACTCATAGTGTATCTTAGTCCTCTCTGTTCCATCAATGAAATCAGCACCTCACTCTCATCATCATTTAAGATTAGTGGTATTATCGTGCCTGGAGAATAGGAGACAATGAGATCTGATCCACAAAAAGGATGGGTAGCTAAAAATTCTTTGGATCAAGAGCCCTCACTAGCATTAGATATTTTTCTCCCCTTTCCTTGAAAAATCAAAAGTTAATCTTTTCAAAATCTTCTCTCAGTATTTCTAAAAATATTTCTGGTTAGCCAGACTTGAGTCCTGGAGGTGAAAAGTACAATGCCTGCACTTTAAAGGAGGGGTTTGAAATATTGACTGTTGGGAGTGACATCTAAACTGTCACGTCTGGTCGCCTCTGCAAAGACAGTGACTTTATGTGAGGGATGGTGAGAGTTTCTTTTCGGTCACAATACCTCGGTGGGAGACAGCCATTGTGTTAAAAGAAAAATCCAACACTGCCACCTTCTCTTGCAACATCTTGTCACTGACATTCTTAGTTGCAGGCCTATTTCCTTCTCTCTCAACAACTTTTTTTTTATTCTTGGTAAATTTTGCTGATACCCACCCATTCTCTAATTTTCTCTCTCCTTTTTTGTTTTCTTACACTAACTCATCACTCATTTAACCTCTTTATATACATATAATGCAATCTCTGCACATCATTTGAACATTGGAAATACATTTCATATGCTAAAAAATAAACTACATTTTTCTTATATAGTTTATGTACTCACAAAAAAAACGATATACAGTGCAACCTTGGTTTTCATGATTAATCCGTTTTAAAAAGTCTGACGAAAACCAAATTGTGCAAAAACTGAAGCAATATTTCCCATAAAAAATAATGTAAATCCAATTAATCCATTCCAGACACCCAAAAATATTAACAAAAAATACATTTGATAGAGAATAACTATAGTTTTACATACTGAAAACAATGAATATAAATATAAATGACTAATGAAATAGATAAATGAACATTTAACATCACTTTCACCTATATTGAAGGCTCTTGTTGGCGTATGGAAGACGGCAAGGAGGGGAGAGGGAGGAGTAGAGATTATTGTTTGGAATGGGAATCCCCATCCATAAGGACTTCAGGTATCAAGGCCCTATCTGGGATTACTTCCCTTCTTGGTCTTTTACTGGCACTAGGACCAACTTGAGAGTCACTGGACCACTGTCGCACAAACAATCTGTCCTGAGAGGTGTGTTTCTGGCGTCTCTTTAAGATTTGCCTAAAATGGGACAAGGCATTGTCATTGAATATGTTGCAGACATGGTTTGCAACAGCTTTGTTAGGGTGATATTTCTCCATAAAACTTTATAACTCACTCCACTTTGCACACATGTCCTTAACCACTGAAGAAGGCACATACTGAACTTTCTTTGGCCCTATGGTGGCTTATTTAGCAGTAGCACTCAATAAACAAGCACAAAAAACAATAATTACAAAATGTTTCAGATGAACATGCAGGGTGATGTTCACTTAACCCCTTCAGGGTTTCTGACGTACTAGTACAGCTTACGCACCAGGGTTATTGACATACTAGTACACCTAAATTCTAGCACCTTCAAATCTAATGAGAGAAAGCTGGTAGGCCTACATATGAAAGAATGGGTCTATGTGGTCAGTGTGCACAGTATAAAAAAAAATCCTGCAGCACACAGTGCATGAGAAAAAAAACTCCGACCGTGTTTTTGGTTTAAAACAGCGACTCTGAAGTGTATTTTTGTATGGTACTTATGGTTGTATTTTAGTTTTCCTGGTCTCATTTTATAGAATGGAAGACATATTACAGAAATTGAGATGATTTTGATTGGTTTTACAATGAAAAGTACCTTGAAATTGAGCTCAAAGTAGCAGAAATATTCAATTTTTATCAAAGTTCAAAAGTAAACAAATCATGCCAAGTGTCCAATGCACGTCAACTGGTGAGTCTAATATTCTTTCACAAGTGTGCTGATATTATTTATACGATTTCTACACTAATGCAGTAGTCTGCATAACAGTAAATCTTCTATTTTTTGTGAGAAAAAAAATTCAAAGTGGAAAGCAAAAGAGATGTAAGAGGAGCCTGGAGATGTGACTAACGAACAGAGAAAATGTTATTTTAGTGCCAGGAATGTCTGTCGTGTTTATTCTGGACCCTATTTGGAAACTGGCATCTTCTGAAATTTGTGTGAAATTGGCAAAATTGCCAATTTCTGACCACTTTACTGGATAGTTGAAATCGGTAAATGGGTGGTTTCTTGTACTCATTCGATAGAAAAAAATGGAGTTCTAGCAATATAGATATGATTTTTGTTGACTAGTACACTGAAATTGGCCGAAAATAGGGCTCAAAAAGGGCGAAATAGCCGATGCGTAAACATCGTCGAGACCGCTCAATTCGCGAGAGTGTAATTCCGTAAGTTTTCCATCAAATTTCATACGTTTGGTGTCATTGTGATCGGGAAAAGATTCTCTATCATTTCATAAGAATTCTTTTTTTTTTTCCAAAAAATTTTCGACCCTGAGAACGAGTTTAGGAGAGGGCCTCTCAACCCTGAAAGGATTAATGAGAAACAAAGGCAGACTGAATCACGAACGCATGGGATGCTTTGTGTGGGTGCGTTTGGTATGGACCATTTCCAATTCTACAAAAACCGAGCGGATGTACAAAAACTGGAACAAAAATTTGACATAAAAAGTTGTTGAAAACCAAATTCTATGAAAACTGGGGCATACAAAAACTGAGGTTCCACTGTATATAAATGGGTCAGTTTTTAAATTTATATAATTCTGAATAAAAAACAAAATAAAAGGGAGAAGGGGAGTTGAAAAATAGCATATTTATTTTTTTAACATGTTGGCTGTCTCCCACCATGAAAGGGTGACCCGAAAAAGAAACACTTCCACCATTCACACTATCACTGTCTTGCCAGAGGCATGCAGATACAATAATTTAGCTGCACATACCAAACAGTAAATATCCCAAACCCCTCTTTTTAGAGTACAGGCACTGTACATCCCACCTCCAAGACTCGAACGTGACTAACTGGTTTTTCCTGAATCCCTTCACAAAATATTAAACTGCTCACACTCCAACAGCTTGTCAAGTCCGAAAAACCACTCATCTTCACTCACTCCTAACATGTTCATACATGCTTGCTATATGTCCAAGTACTTTGCACACAAAATCTCCTTTTACCCCCCCCTCTTTCCATCCTTTCCTAGGTAGACCTCAACCTCTCTTTCCTTCCACTACAGATTTATAAACCCTCCAAGTCACCATACTGTGCTCCATCCTCTCTAAATGACCAAACTACCTCAACAATGCCTCCTCAGCCCAAGAATAATACTTTTAGTAACTCCACACCTGCTCCTAATTTCCATACTAAATTCTCTGCATAATATATACACCACACACTGCACTTAGACATGACACCTCCACCCTCCTCCTCCTCGCCCCAGCATTCACAACTCATGCTTCACATTCATATAAGCGTTGGTACCATTATAGTCTCATACATTTCCTTCTTTGCCTCCATGGATATCGTTCTTTATCTGAACAGATACCTCAATGCATCATCCACCTTTTTTTGTTCATCATTTCTATGGTTTACCATGTTCTTCATATACCCATCCACCAACATGTCCACTTCCAAATATCTGAACACATTCACTTCTGGCAAGAGGCATAGAGTTAAAAGATAAAGAATCACACACAAAGTGGGAGTTGTCACAGCTGCTCTTTGCTGATGACACTGTGCTCTTGGGAGATTCTGAAGAGAAGTTGCAGAGATTGGTGGATGAATTTGGTAGGGTGTGCAAAAGAAGAAAATTAAAGGTGAATACAGGAAAGAGTAAGGTTATGAGGATAACAAAAAGATTAGGTGATGAAAGATTGAATATCAGATTGGAGGGAGAGAGTATGGAGGAGGTGAATGTATTCAGATATTTGGGAGTGGACGTGTCAGCGGATGGGTCTATGAAAGATGAGGTGAATCATAGAATTGATGAGGGGAAAAGAGTGAGTGGTGCACTTAGGAGTCTGTGGAGACAAAGAACTTTGTCCTTGGAGGCAAAGAGGGGAAAGTATGAGAGTATAGTTTTACCAACGCTCTTATATGGGTGCGAAGCATGGGTGATGAATGTTGCAGCGAGGAGAAGGCTGGAGGCAGTGGAGATGTCATGTCTGAGGGCAATGTGTGGTGTGAATATAATGCAGAGAATTCGTAGTTTGGAAGTTAGGAGGAGGTGCGGGATTACCAAAACTGTTGTCCAGAGGGCTGAGGAAGGGTTGTTGAGGTGGTTCGGACATGTAGAGAGAATGGAGCGAAACAGAATGACTTCAAGAGTGTATCAGTCTGTAGTGGAAGGAAGGCGGGGTAGGGGTCGGCCTAGGAAAGGTTGGAGAGAGGGGGTAAAGGAGGTTTTGTGTGCGAGGGGCTTGGACTTCCAGCAGGCATGCGTGAGCGTGTTTGATAGGAGTGAATGGAGACAAATGGTTTTTAATACTTGACGTGCTGTTGGGGTGTGAGCAAAGTAACATTTATGAAGGGGTTCAGGGAAACCGGCAGGCCGGACTTGAGTCCTCGCGATGGGAAGTGCAGTGCCTGCACTCTGAAGGAGGGGTGTTAATGTTGCAGTTTAAAAACTGTAGTGTAAAGCACCCTTCTGGCAAGACAGTGATGGAGTGAATGATGGTGAAAGTTTTTCTTTTTCAGGCCACCCTGCCTTGGTGGGAATCGGCCAGTGTGATAATAAAAAAAAAAATAATTCACTTCTATACTCCCTCCCTCCAGTCTGATAACAAATTTGTTCTTATTTAACTTGTTTGATACCCTCATCACCTTACTCTTATCTCTGTTCATTTTCAACTTCCTTTTTTAATACTATATCTGTACATCAAACACAATTATCAAACAAGTAACAATAAAAATTTATTAATAATTAATTTTTATACAATAATGCAGTTTAATGTTATGAAACACCTTTATATGTTTACTAAGAACTTTTTTCTTGTACTCTCTGAATACATTTTCCAAAAAGAGATGCAAAAAGGGTGTTGATAGCGGCATCATCCATCCGTGGCGGGCAACATGGAGCAAAATATTGCTGAAGCTTGCTCATTACCTACAAAATAAAATTAAAATAATTGTATTTTTGTAAGAATATGTATGCTAGAATTTCTGCATAGTTAAGGTTATAAAAGTACAATTTATTTTGAAAGATTGGAATATTTCTTCAAATGTTGAAAACTATTGACTCAAGAGTCTATGAATGACTAACTCTATTTTTCTTTATGCATTTGTTTAAACTGATATGTTGCAGCTATAAATGTGTAGTGTTCTACCTCATATCTAAGCTTCCTTCCTTTGCTTGCTTTCCTGTCAACTATTCGTTTGGCTTTTCTTCTCAGATTTTGGATTTCAATCCATTTCCGTGAAACATCTGTCATGTTGTCAGAAAGTGACACCTTGGCCTTGAGCACCTCCTCTAAAGCTCTTGTATAAAAGTCGGTGTCGTCAAATATTTCTGGATCATATTCTTCTGTATCAACCTTAAAAAAAATTAAAAATATAAGTAAAATACATAAAATTAAAACACACACACATAAGAGTGTGATACACAGAAAATGTTTCTTTCACAGCTCTGACAGGCATAGAGGACTATGGACCATTTTACGACAAAATGTACTGTAAATAACAAAAAAGACACAATACCGTGGCTGGAACAATACACAAATAACCCGCTGGCCTATATATACAGTGGACCCCCGCATAACGATTACCTCCGAATGTGACCAATTATGTAAGTGTATTTATGTAAGTGCGTTTGTACGTGTATGTTTGGGGGTCTGAAATGGACTAATCTACTTCACAATATTTCTTATGGGAACAAATTCGGTCAGTACTGGCACCTGAACATACTTCTGGAGTGAAAAAATATCGTTAACCGGGGGTCCACTGTACTCCCTCCGTCTCTCCATTTTGTTAGTGTGACTTTGTAAATGGTCCAAATCAGACTGAAACGTTGATATAAGCTCCTCTCTCCTATGTGCAGGTTATTTGTGTAAAATGTACTGTATTTGAGTGACAAAGGGTACTGGGAAAAAACTGTGCATGGAGCAAGTTTTGGATAAAACAGGGTATGTAGCAAGGGTTGGATAAATCTGGGTATGGAGAAATGGTTGATAAAACTGGGTATGGAACAAGGGTTGGCTAAAACTGGGTATGCAGATAGTGTTGGATAAAACTGATTATCTAGAGAGGGTTAGATAAAACTGGATATGTAGCAAGGGTTGGATCCATCAAAATCTGCTAAAAAGTACTGTACTGGATTTCTGGTTCTAACCTGTTTATAATTTGATCACTGGTAACTTGTCTACCTGGGATACACAGGTCATGAATAGTTTCCACATTGCAAAAATAATTGGTCCTCGATTTATGATGTATTACTGCATAATGGTTTGACATGTAAATGCTGACATATTAATGAAGGTCTTTATCCGGTACAAAAGGGATTGACATGACAAGTGCTGAAAGGCACCAGAGGTTCTCAGAAACTCAGCAACCTGTTGTACCTGCTGGGTGTGTGAACCAACACTTGATGTGGCACAGCTCAGGCACTGTTGACTGTGGTGTGTAGGTTGCTTAAACTCACTTCTTAGTGGATGTTTGTGTCTTGAAACAACATGGCTCATACAGTTGTATTTTTTTTTTTAGTCTAGCTTCAGCATAAATACTGTACTGTAATATGTTAAACTTCATTCAACTCAGGTTCCAAAAAGTGATCAAACAGCAAAGACTGAAATAATGTGATGGCTAAGAAGAATACTGTATACTTTAGACAAAATGGATGTTTTACAAGAAAAAAAAAAAAAAAAAAAAAAAAAAAAAAAAAAAAAAAAAAAACTCTTGTTTATTATCTATGCAAAATATGAGAAACTGACAAGTGCTTGTTGTGTAGACTGTTACACCTGCTAGAGCAACATTCAGTCACAGATATAATGGAAAACATGTTGGGGTTTATGTTAGGAGTTGGAGCATTTTTTTTTTATTAACACATTGGCTGTCTCCCACCAAGGCAGGGTGGTCCAAAAAAGAAAAACTTTCATCATCATTCACTCCATCACTCTTAGGTAAGACACGTATGCAACAGTTAGGTATCTTTATTTCGAAACGTTTCGCCTACACAGTAGGCTTCTTCAGTTGAGTACAGAAAAGTTGATAGAAGCAGAAGATGTGAAGACAATGTAATCAGTCCATTACCCTTGAAGTTTTGAGGTGGTCAGTCCCTCAGTCTGGAGAAGAGTCTTGTTCCAGGGTGATGGACTGATTACATCGTCTTCATGTCTTCTGCTTCTATCAACTTTTCTGTACTCGACTGAAGAAGCCTACTGTGCATGCAAAACGTTTCAAAATAAAGATACCTAACTGTTGCGTATGTGTCTTACCTAACAACTTGTCGGTATTTTATACCATTTTGATGTTCACTCCATCACTGTCTTGCCTGAGGCACACTCACATTACAGTTATAAAACTACAACATTAACACCCCTCCTTCAGAGTGCAGGCACTGTACTTCCAATCACCAGGACTCAAGTCTGGCCTGCCAGTTTCCCTGAATCCCTTATTAAATGTTACCTTGCTCATGCTCCAACAGTACGTCAAGACCTAAAAAACATTTGTCTCCATTTGCTCCTATCAAACACGCTCACGCATATTTGCTGGAAGTCCAAGTCCTTCGCACACAAAACCTCCTTCACCCCCTCCCTCCAATCTTTCCCAGGATGACCTCTACCCCGCCTTTCCTCCGCTACATGTCTGAGCTGCCTCAACAACACGAAACTCTCAACACGAAATCACAGCTTCCCTATCTTCATCCATATTTAACAATTCCTCAAAAGATTCACTCTATCTTCCCGATACCTCCAACTCTCCATTTAATAACTCTCCTCTCCTATGAACTTTCAAATCCATTTGTTCCCTAGACTTCCTCAATTTATTAATCTCACTCCAAAACTTTTTCTTATTTTCAATAAAATCTGTTGATAACATCTCACCCACTCTCTCATTTGCTCTCTTTTTACATTCCTTCACCACTCTCTTAACTTCTCTTTTTCTCTCCATGTACTCCTCCCTCCAAGCATCACTTCTACTTTGTAAAAACCTCTCATACGCTAACTTTTTCTCTCTTACTACTCTCTTTACATCATCATTCCACCAATTGCTCTTCTTCCCTCCTGCATCCACTTTCCTGTAACCACAAACTTCTGCTGAGCATTCTAACACTACATTCTTAAACCTACCGAATACATCTTCAACCCCATCGCCTATACTCTCATTAGCCCATCAATCCTCCTATAGTTGTTTATATCTTATATCAGCGAGGAGAAATGAATGGGATTAAGTCATGAGTATCTGAGAGAGTTAGAGCTAATGAAGGGGTAGAGAAGAGGGAATATAAATGTATAAATTCAAGGATTACGTGGATTAAAATAAGGGTCGGATGTGAAAAGTGGGTCATAATAAGTGTGCATGGGCCTGGAGAAGAGAGGAGTGTAGAGGAGAGAGAGAGATTTTGGGAGATGTTAAGGGAGTGTGTAGGAACTTTTGAGCCAAGTGAAAGAGTAATTGTGGTAAGGCACCTAAATGCTAAAGTAGGAGAAGCATTTAGAGAGGGTGTGGTAGGTAAGTTTGAGGTGCAAAGTGTAAATGATAATGGGGAACACTTGATTGAACTTTGTATAGAAAGGGGTTTGGTTATAGGTAACACATATTTTAAGAAAAAGAGGATATATGAAAAAGAGGATATATAAGTATACAAGATATGATGTAGGGTAAAATGATAGTACATAGTTTGTTGGACTACATATATTGGTAGATAAAAGACTGTTGGGTAGACTTCAGGATGTACATGTATATAGAGGGGCCACAGATATATCAGATCACATTTTAGCTGTAGCTACAGTGAGAGTAAAAGGTAGATGGGATAAGAGGAAAATGGAAGCAGCAGGTAAGAGAGAAGTGAAAGTTTATAAACTAAAGGAGGAGGCAGTTAGGGCAAGATATAAACAACTGTTGGAGGACAGATGGGGTAGTGAGAATAGAGGCAATGGGGTAGAAGATGTATGGGGTAAGTTTAAGAATACAGTGTTAGAGTGTTCAGCAGAAGTTTGTGGTTACAGGAAAGTGGATGCAGGAGGGAAGAAGAGTGACTGGTGGAATGATGATATAAAGAGAGCAGTAAGAGAGAAAAAGTTAGCATATGAGAGGTTTTTACAAAGTAGAAGTGATGCAAGAAGGGAAGAGTATATGGAGAGAAAGAAAGAAGTTAAAAGAGTGGTAAAGCAATGTAAAAAGAGAGCAAATGAGAGTGAGGGTGAGATGTTATTGAAGCAATGTAAAAAGAGAGCAAATGAGAGAGTGGGTGAGATGTTACCAACAAATTTTGTTGGAGTGAGATTAATAAGTCGAGAAAGCCTAGGGAAAAATGGATTTGTTAGTTAAAAATAGGAGAGGAGAGTTATTAAATAGAGAGTTAGAGATATCGGGAAGATGGAGGGAATGTTTTGAGCAATTGTTAAATGTTGATGAAGATATCGGAGCTGTGATCTCTTGAACAGGGCAAGGAGGAATAACATCTTGTAGGAGAGAGGAAGAACCGGTTTTGAGGGTGGGGAAAATGCATGGGGCAGTGAGAAGAATGAAAGGGGGTAACACAGCTGGGATTGATGGGATAAAGACAGAAATGTTCAAAGCAGGTGGGAATATAGTTTTGCAGTGGTTAGTGTTTTTATTTAATAAATGTATGGAAGAGGGTAAGGTACTTAGGGACTGGCAGAGAGCATTCATAGTTCCTTTGTATAAAGGCAAAGAGGACAAAAAAGAGTGTAAAAATTATAGGGGAATAAGTCTACTGAGTCTGGGAGCAAGGGGCTAGTAACCCCTTCTCCTGTATAAATTACTAAATTTAAAAAGAGAAACTTTTGTTTTTCTTTTTGGGCCACCCTGCCTTGGTGGGATACGGTCGGTTTGTTGAAAAAAAAAAAAAAGTCAGCTGAGTCTCCCTGGTAAAGTGTATGGTAAAGTTATCATTGATAGAATTATGAGTAAGATGGAGAGCAGAATAGCAAATGAACAAGGAGGCTTTAGGAAAGGTAGGGGGTGTGTAGACCCAGTGTTTGCAGTGAAACACATAGGTGAACAGTATTTTGATAAGAGTAATGAGGTTTTTGTGGCATTTATGGATTTGAAAAAGGCATATGATAGGGTGGATAGGGGGCAATGTGGCAGATGTTGCAAATATATGGAATAGGAGGTAGGTTACTGAAAGCGGTGAAAAGTTTTTACGAGGACAGTGAGGCAAAGGTTAGAGCATGTAGGCAAAAGGGGGTATTATTTCCCAGTAAAAGTAGGCTTTAGATAGGGATGTGTGATGTCACCATGGTTGTTCAATATACATGTATTTATAGATGAAGTAGTAAGAAAGTGAATGCTCTGGTGTTGGCAAGAGGTGTGGGGTTAAAAGATAAAGAATCTAACACAAAGTGGGAGTTGTCACAGTTACTCTTTGCTGAAGACACTGTGCTTTTGGGAGATTCTGAAGAGAAGTTGCAGAGGCTGGTTGATGAGTTTGGTAGGGCATGTAAAGGAAGGAAGTTAAAAGTGCATATAGGAAAGAGTAAGATGATGAGGATAACAAAGAAATTAGGAAATGGAAAACTGGATATCAGATTGGAGGGAGAGAGTATGGAGGAAGTGAATGTGTTCAGATATTTGGGAGTGGACCTGTCAGCAGATGAGTCTATGAAGGATGAGGTGAATCACAGAACTGATGAAGGGAAAAAGGTAAGTGGTGCATTGAGGAGTCTGTGGAGACAAAGAACTTTATCCATGAAAGCAAAGAGGGAAATGTATGAGAGTATAGTTATACCTATGCTCTTGTATGGGTGTGAGGCATGGATTGTGAATGTTGCAACAAAGAGAAGGCTGGAGGCAGTGGAGATGTAAATGTCTGAGAGCAATGTGTGGTGTGAATATAATGCAAAGAATTAATAGTTTGCAGATCAGGAGATGTGGGATTACCAAAACTATTATTCAGAGGTCTGAGGAGGGGTTATTGAGATGCTTTGGACATGTAGAGAGGGTGGAACAAAATAGAATGATTTTAAGAGTATACAAATCTGTATACTCTTAAAGGTGAATACAGGAAAGAGTAAGGTTATGAGGATAACAAAAAAGATTAGGTGATGAAAGATTGAATATCAGATTGGAGGGAGAGAGTATGGAGGAGGTGAACGTATTCAGATATTTGGGAGTGGACGTGTCAGCGGATGGGTCTATGAAAGATGAGGTGAATCATAAAATTGATGAGGGAAAAAGAGTGAGTGGTGCACTTAGGAGTCTGTGGAGACAAAGAACTTTGTCCTTGGAGGCAAAGAGGGGAATGTATGAGAGTATAGTTTTACCAACGCTCTTATATGGGTGTGAAGCGTGGGTGATGAATGTTGCAGCGAGGAGAAGGCTGGAGGCAGTGGAGATGTCATGTCTGAGGGCAATGTGTGGTGTGAATATAATGCAGAGAATTCGTAGTTTGGAAGTTAGGAGGAGGTGCGGGATTACCAAAACTGTTGTCCAGAGGGCTGAGGAAGGGTTGTTGAGGTGGTTCGGACATGTAGAGAGAATGGAGCGAAACAGAATGACTTCAAGAGTGTATCAGTCTGTAGTGGAAGGAAGGCGGGGTAGGGGTCGGCCTAGGAAAGGTTGGAGGGAGGGGGTAAAGGTTTTGTGTGCGAGGGGCTTGGACTTCCAGCAGGCATGCATGAGCGTGTTTGATAGGAGTGAATGGAGACAAATGGTTTTTAATACTTGACGTGCTGTTGGAGTGTGAGCAAAGTAACATTTATGAAGGGATTCAGGGAAACCGGCAGGCCGGACTTGAGTCCTGGAGATGGGAAGTACAGTGCCTGCACTCTGAAGGAGGGGTGTTAATGTTGCAGTTTAAAAACTGTAGTGTGAAGCACCCTTCTGGCAAGACAGTGATGGAGTGAATGATGGTGAAAGTTTTTCTTTTTCGAGCCACCCTGCCTTGGTGGGAATCGGCCAGTGTGATAATAAAAAAAAAAACAAATCTGTAGTGGAGGGAAGGTGGGATAGAGGTCGGCCTAGGAAAGGTTGAAGGGAGGGGTAAAGGAGATTTTGTGTGTGAGGGGCTTGGATGCGTGAGTGTGTTAGACAGGAGTGAATGGAGACAATAGGTTTTAGGACTTCATGTGCTGTTGGAGTGTGAGAAAGGTAACCTTTATGAAGGGATTCAGGGAGATTGACAGGCCGGACTTGAGTCCTGGAGATGGGAAGTACAGTGCCGGCACTCTGAAGGAGGGGTGTTAATGTTGCAGTTGTATAACTGTAGTGCACATAAGAACGTAAGAAAGAACACTGCAACAGGCCTACTGACCCATGCTGAGCAGGTCCATGTCACCCCCCAGGATTAGTGTAGGCATGCCTCTGGCAAAACAATGATGGGGTGAATGACGATGAAAGTTTTTCTTTTTCAGGCCACCTTGCCTTGGTGGGAAAGAGCCGATGTGTTAATAATAAATAGTTAAAAATATTACCCTAACTACCTCCTCCTTTAGTTTATTAACCTTTTCCTCTCTCTTACTTGCTGCTTCTATTTTCCTTGTATCCCATCTATCTTTTACTCTAAGAAAATATGCACTGATATACAATTTGCCTAACAGGTTCTGGTGGAATATATGCCATTAATTGAGAACACATGCTCCTTTATCTTTCTAAAGTACTGTAGTTAATTCATTTCACTGCTAATGTCAATTTTCACCTAAGGAGTAAAAAGCAGCTAAATAAAGCTGAAAAATTAGGAAACAGGTGAACAAAGTGCATCTCATCAATCTTTTACTATGGAACCATTCAATAAGTGAACATTAATGAACATGAATTCTGCAACATGGAAAGCTTAGGACAAGTGCTGATATTGTTGGGTACATTTCAATTTGCAAATTGACCTCATTTATTTTCTAACACATCTTCTCCCAAAAGCAGGCATAGAATATTGTACAAAGCTGGCAATAGAATAATTTTCATCAATGAACAACATTCATTTCATACCTCTTTGGTTGTGTCACTGCTTTTACCCAACACATGATAGGTCACACCTCTGGTTGCCCCAGTCAGCTGAGTGCGACGAATCAGCTGTTGCTTATTTGCCAAAATGTTGTTCAGCTGTTGCAAAGCAGAAACTTCAAACCCAGTGAATTTACCACGTGTACTGCGATACGAAAGCAACTTTGTTTTTTCATACCATCTGAAATAACAATACAAGTCTTAACATTCTATTTACAGATGCAAAATTTACCCCTCATGTAAAGGTATCTGGTGAGCTCAAGAGCTACAGCGCCTGTAAACAAAAGTGAGTACAGTGGAACCTCAATACTCGAACTGCTCCCTACTCAAACAATTCGGTATTCGAACGCTTTGTTTGGCAAAAAAATCGCTCAGTAGTTGATCATTTGCTCAGCACTTGATGAAACAAATATGAACTGCCAGAACTTTGCTGTAAACTATTTCGTGTTTCTTGGCATTTTTCGTTTTTATATTATTTGTATGAATAAGTCACCATGGGGCCTAAGAAGATTAGTGATAATAGCCAACCAACCAAAAAAGAAAATTGGTTGGAAAAAATTCGTTCGTTACTCGAACAGCTTTCTGGAACGAATTAAGTTCGTGTACCAAGGTTCCACTGTACATCTGTGAAGGTTCTCTCATACATGTTTGTGTGTCTACCATGCTTAAATTGTATGTATTTAATGTCTGCTTCTACCCTTACCACAGATACCAAATACAAGAGGGCCCTGCATATACATCTATTTTCAGTGTTTCACATTTTCACTGGCTTTGAATTGAGTCACTGTTCCATCCACCAGTGATGTAGTCACTCACACAGCGGCCTGGCAGGAAGACACAAGTACTCCCAGCTCTCTCTCGTAGGCATGGCCCTGCCCGGGCCATGGGCACAAACACACAAGCCTGTGTAACCCAACACTAGTTAACAATAAACAAAGAAGCCTCCGAAGAAGTTTATCATTCACACCCCGCTACCAGATCACCAAACAACCTTCGTTATAAATGGTGACAGCGGTGCTCCGCAGCAGTTGTGTTTGCCATGAGAGAGGAGGAAGAGTTATGAAGTCATCTTCACTTCATCACCCTACACAAGAAGCATCCGTCTCTCAACGAGTTATCCTGATGTCGTGTCTGCACTTTTGAGCATCCAGACACAGGTACTAGCAGGATCCAGCTGAAATTTGCCGAATTTCTTCGAGAATTGTACGTGGCGTCCCAGTGACTCCACGCTACAGTGTCCCACGCTGTTTCTCAAGTCACGTGTTCAGCGTCACTTGTATGTTGCTGTTGTTGTTCAGCTCAGCACAGCTGTTTCAGCAAGCCAGAGGTGAGTTTTGTGGTGATTTCTGCGTCCAGTGTGAGCTTCTCCACGTGTTTGTGGGTGGAGGAGGAGGAGGAATGGCTAGATGCTCGCCCTGCCATACACTCACCCATGCTCCTCGCCACCACACTACCATACACCACTGCCCACTCCCTCTGCTGTGTTTTCTGCTGTTTTTTCGTGTGATTCTTTGCCAGTGCTGTGTATCCGAGTGCCCGAGGCCACTCGAAGCTGAGTGGATCAGCATGCCAAGTAGATCACGACACCACGTGGATCGACACCACGGTGGGTGTGGGCGATGTCACGTGGACCTACAAAGCCACGTGAGTTACCAGATGTCCCAGGCCACATGCTGTGGTCTGCTGCCCGCATCACATTGACGTCACCTCACGATGTTTGCCTGATGTCACCTCGAGATGTCTGCTGACGTCACCTCGAGATGTCTGCTGACGTCACCTCGAGATGTCTGCTGACGTCACCTCGAGATGTCTGCTGACGTCACCTCACGATGTCTGCCTGACGTCACCTCGAGATGTCTGCTGACGTCACAGCCCTGCTGACGTCACCTCGCGACATCACGCCTGACATCACATGATGTCACCATTGAGTGTTTCTAGTAATTATTTTAGTACTGTTGAGAAGATTGAGAGAAGATATATGTCGTGTGTTAATTAATTCCTCTCAGTCAGTGTTCTTACATTTTAGTATATGTCTTAGTGTCAGTTTTATGCACAGAAAAGCACCTTTTGCTAGTTTAAGCCATGTTGTACCGTATGTACAGAGGTGTGTTTGTAAAGTTTCCGTGTGTCCAGTGAGGTCTGAGCCAGCCAGACCTGAGTAACACCACTGTGCTAAGTCACCCGCGTACGAGCCCCCTTGTACAGAAAGCTTTTATGCTCGTCGCTCGTGATGTTCTGCAGAATCGTACCTGCTACGATTCCCATAGAGATTTGTTTCACTTCACCTCCAGACCGTCAGAGTGCAGTTATATGTAGAGAAACAAGTCTGGGGACGCTTAGGCTAACCTCTGTTATAACTCCAACTGTCGAGAGATGATACTCGTCAAGCCGCAGCCAGCCCTGTCGGCAGGCGCTGTGTCAGCCTCGTGTCACAAGCTTCAGTGAGCAGCCTGCACAAAGAAGATGTCACTTTGACTGCTAGCTCTCTCACTGCAGTCTGGTGTATGATGTTACGACTCCCAGATGTTTCGCCCAGTCGTCTCTGCCACGACTCGCTCCACAACTCGCTCCACGCTCGCCGGCAGTGACAGCCCAGCAGTGACAGTACCAGTCGAGAAGTGTCCTGAGTCGCTTGCCAGAAGTCCTGCCCAGTTGCCGAGTTTTGTCGACGCCTCACTCGAGGGCACCAGCATGTCGTGCCCCAGGTTGAGTGAAAACCTGCAGCGACTCCTACGATGTCTGCTTCACCGTTCCAGAGGAGACCGTACCCTGTTACGTCACAGCTCAGCCGCAGCGATGTCTCCCGTGTTGCAGTATCTGTCCAGACGCAGGAAGGCGTGCAGTGATGCCCTTCGACGCTCATTGCCTTTGACCACGATGTTTAGCACACCCCCATGTTTTTTTCTTCCCTCCCTGTAGGAAGTTTTTTTTTTTCCATGTCCATATGTATATATATGCTTTTATTTTGTGTTCTGTGCCCTGTTCCTACGAGAGAGAGAGACCGAGTTTCTTTTACTACCAGTATTGTCGCGTCGGGACGACGCGCGGTAGGTGGCCGAGCGTATGTAGACAGCCTGTACTGTCTGCACAGACAGCCCATGCTGTCTGCCAGCTTAGTTCATATTTCGCGCCACTCAAGTGCTGCCACCTAGGCCTTGCCACTTCGGTATGCCCAGACTTGCCTCGCTCTCACTCACTCAGCGGCCTAGCATCAACACACAAGTACTCCCAGCTCTCTCTCGTGGGCATGGCCCTGCCCGGGCCATGGGCACAAACACACAAGCCTGTGTAACCCAACACTAGTTAACAATAAACAAAGAAGCCTCCGAAGAAGTTTATCATTAACACCGCTCTACAGCCTCACCAAACAAGCGCCGTTATAGTGACAACCACTCATAAGTGGAACATAATGAACAATGGCTCAACTGGAAGCCAAAAGAAATGTAGAGCACTGATTATTTGAAGTAACATCGTCATTCTGAAATGACTATGGCAAATCAACCAAAAAAATATTCAAAGAACATAAATGTCTACATGTAAGTCTTTCTAATAAAATGAATTCATATACATAAACTACAATTATTTACTTCACATTTAAATGAACACAATGTAATTTTTTTAGTATGCAAACTCGTGCATTCTGAAGGGTTTGTTTGCAGTTTCAATTAATATTTTTTGAACAATTTTGGTGTTTGTAACACATTTTTCAATGCATTAAGGTTGAGAATCAGAAACAACTGACCAGGCAAATTTCCATGTTATAAAAAATCAAACTAATAATTATTATTTAACTAAGGTTAACAATATTGACAGAACTGCACTATTAGTCTCCAAAAATAAAAGTGATGCAATATACAGGCATCACCCAGGAGTGGCAACACCACTGGGAGATGCCTGCTACTACTCTCAGGACTGGTAACACTACTGAGAGAGGTCTGTTACCATTCCAAGGAGTGGTCTCACTCCTGGGAATGGGAGTGTTACCACTGTCACTTATCACTGTACCACTACTGCAAGGTGGTATACCACTGTCAGTAATCGCTGTACCTGCTGTTTTACCCCCTCCATTTCACCTACTGCCTCACACACCACCACACTTGCATCTGGCTCTTTCTCACTCCTAAAAGATGTTATAACTCCATACCCAATGCAAGAAGTGACTGTCACAATTAGTTAAACTGAGTTAACCGACATTAACCTAGCTTAACTAAAATATTGTATACAAAGAAATTTGATTTAACATATCAAGGAAAAATACAATGCTAATGTTTTGATGGATTGCTATCCTCTATGGGTCTTGGGTAGGAAACCTCAGCTATCTACCACAAATATGTATATAGCTTGTACAGGCATGTGTCAACAGTAGGGGTTCCACTACATCCCTGTGAAGCTGCAGCAGCAAATAATCTTTCAATGAAATTTAATAATACTTTCTTGACCAGCTAAAATGTGACTTACTTATTTATAACCTGGTCCCTGAAGGGTAGCATTGCTGCATGCCTCTTTGCCAGTATCTCTTCATAGTCTTCCATTTTCATCTTGCGTTTGGTTCCTCGGGAGTCGAGTGCAATCTCCTCCTCCACATTATCATCCTCACTGCTGGTTATTTCCTCATCACTGAAATGATTAAATTATTACAAAATACTCATACTCAGAAATGCTTCATTTTTTGTGAACGAATTTTAACTGCAGCTATATATATAACATTATTATGCACTTATTAATTTATACATTAAACCTAATTCTATTCACAACTAAATGGGAACATGATAAAATAAATTCTTAGTTTGTGTTTAGTGAAGAAAAAGGAACCAATATCTCTATAGAAAATCACTCTTAAGCACTGGTTCAAAAAATTACTTTCCTCTAACATCTTAACACACAACAGAGACTGCTGACCAGACGAAAAATATATTTTATATAAAATAAAACATTAGGGAACTGAAGCTTTATATATTGTACAAAGCTTTACATATTTAATAATTCCTCAAGTGGTAGATCTGGAGTTTTTTTGGATTATGAATCCTCCTGGTATCTACTACAAAAATTTATATATTTTGACTGCTAGCACTTATGGAGTTTTTTTTTTTTTTTGTTAATATGGTGCAATGTACTTTTTTTTTTTCAACAAGTCGGCCGTCTCCCACCGAGGCAGGGTGACCCAAAAATAAAGAAAATCCTCAAAAAGAAAATACTTTCATCATCATTCAACACTTTCACCTTACTCATACATAATCACCTTTTCCAGAGGTGCCCAGATACAACAGTTTAGAAGCATATATAAAGATACATAACATATCCCTCCAAACTGCCAATATCCCAAACTCCTCCTTTAAAGTGCAGGGATTGTAGTTCCCATTTCCAGTACTCAAGTCCCACTGTATAAAAATAACTGGTTTTCCTGAATCTCTTCACTAAACATTACACTGCTTATACTCCAACAGCTCTTCAGGTCCCAAAAACCATTCGTCTCCATTCACTCCTATCTAACATGCTCATTCACGCTTGCTGGAAGTCTAAGCCCCTTGCCCACAAAACCTCCTTTACCCCCTCCCTCCAACCTTTTTGAGAACGACCCCTACCCTTCCTTCTTACCCCTACAGATTGATACACTCTCCATGTCATTCTACTTTGATCCATTCTCTCTAAATGTCCAAAACACTTCAACAACCCCTTTTCACCCCTCTGACTAATACTTTCATTAACTCCACACCTCCTAATTTCCATGCTCCGAATTTTCTGCATAATATCTACACCACACATTGCCTTTAGACAGGACATCTCCACTGCCTCCAGCCGCCTCCTTGCCGCAGCATTTACACCCCAAGCTTTACACCCATATAAGAGTGTTGGTACCACTATATTTTCATGCATTCCTTTCTTTGCCTCCATAGATAATGTTTTTTGTCTCCACATATACCTCCTTCATCAATTCTATGGTTAACCTCATCCTTCATAAACCCATCTGCTGACATGTCAATTCCCATATACATGTATCTAAAAACATTCACTTCTTCCATACTTTTTCTCTCCAATGTGATATCCAATTTTTCTTTATCTAAATCATTTGATACCCTCATCACCTTACTTTTATCTATGTTCACTTTCAACTTTCTACCTTTACACACCCTCTCAAACTTGTCCACCAGCCTTTGCAACTTTTCTTTAGAATCTTCCTTAAGCACAGTATCATCAGCAAAAAGTAACTGTGTCAACTCTCATTTTGTATCTGATTCCCCATAATTTAATCCCACCCCCTCTCCCAAACACCCTAGCCTTTACTTCTTTTACAACCCCGTCTATAAATATATTAAACAACCATGGTGACATTACACATCCCTGTCTAAGACCTACTTTTACTGGGAAGTAGTCTCCCTCTCTTCTACACACCTTAACCTGAGCATCACTATCCTCATAAAAACTCTTTACAGCATTTAGTAACTTACTACCTATTCCATATACTTGCAACATCTGCCACATTGCTCCCCTATCCACTCTTATTATATGCCTCTATCTTTACCTAAATACTGTTCACATATATGCTTCAATTTAAACACTTGATCTACACATCCCCTACCCACTCTAAAACCTCCTTGCCCATCTGCAATCCTACATTCTGTCTTACCTCTAATTCTTTGAATAATAACCCTACTATACACTTCTCCTGGTATACTCAGTAAACTTATTCCTCTATAGTTTTTACAATATCTTTTGTCCCTCTTCCCTTTATATAAAGGAATTATACATGCTCTCTGCCAATCCCTAGGTACCTCCCCCTCTTTCATACATTAAACAAAAATACCAACCACTCCAACACTATAACTCCCCTTGCTTTTAACATTTCTGTCACAATCCCATCAGTTCTCGCTGCTTTACCCCCCTTTCATTCTAAGTAATGCCTCACACACCTCCCCCATACTCACATCCTGCTCTTCTTCATTCCTAAAAGATGTTATACCTCCCTGCCCAGTGCATGAAATTACCGCCTCTCTTTCTTCATCGACATTTAAAAGTTCCTCAAAATATTCCTGCCATCTACCCAATACCTCCAAATAATGAATAATCCATATTTATTGGAAGTAAAAATTAAATAAAATCTGTAAAGAACTTGATTCTGTTTAAGGAGAAATGCACAACGACGATTTTTTAAATCCAAATAAAATTTAGCGAAACAGTTAATTTCCTCTGATTAATTTAAGTTATTGGATATATAAAATTATACATATGTAATTATTCTCCAAGGGGAAGTGGAGAAGGATCCTTCCTCTATAAGCCATGTATGTCATAAAAGGTGACTAAAATGCAGGAGTATAAATTATTAAATGTAAAAATAAGGAAGTGAAAGTGTATAAACTAAGGGAGGAGAAAGTTCGGGTGAGATATAAGCGACTATTGGCAGAAAGGTGGGCTAGTGCAAAGATGAGTAGGGAAGGGGGGTTAAGAGGGTTGGATGAGTTTTAAAAATGCAGTATTAGAATGTGGGGTAGAAGTTTTTGGTTATAGGAGGGTGGGGGCAGGAGGAAAGAGGAGTGATTGGTGGAATGATGAAGTAAAGGGTGTGATAAAAGAGAAAAAGTTAGCTTACGAGAGGTTTTTACAAAGCAGAAGTGTTATAAGAAGAGCAGAGTATATGGAGATTAAAAGAAAGGTGAAGAGAGTGCAAAAGGAGAGCAGATGATAGAATGGGAGAGGCACTGTCAAGAAACTTTAATGAAAATAAGAAAAAATTTTGGAGTGAGTTAAACAAGTTAAGAAAGCCTAGGGAACATATGGATTTGTCAGTTAAAAACAGAGTAAGGGAGTTAGTAGATGGGGAGAGGGACGTATTAGGTAGATGGCGAGAATATTTAGAGGAACTTTTAAATGTTGAGGAAGAAAGGGAGGTGGTAATTTCATGCACTGGCCAGGGATGTATACCATCTTTTAGGAGTGAAGAAGAGCAGGATGTGAGTGTGTGGGAGGTACGTGAAGCATTACGTAGAATGAAAGGGGGTAAAGCAGCTGGAACTGATGGGATCATGACAGAAATGTTAAAAGCAGGGGGGGATATAGTATTGGAGTGGTTGGTACTTTTGTTTAACCCTTAAATGGTCCAAACGTATATATACGTTTTTTCAACATTTGAAAGTATGTAAAAAAATGTAGATTTTTTTTTTTTTTGTTTTACATGTGAAAACATGTAAAAAACTTTTATCTACATTTTTTTTTGTTTCATTTGAAAATATGTAAAAAAAAAAGTAGATCTACTTTTGTAGCACTACGAATTTGAACGTCGATCTGCTTGGACCGTTTAAGGGTTAATAAATGTATGAAAGAGGGGAAGGCACCTAGGGATTGGCAGAGAGCATGTATAGTCCCTTTATATAAAGGGAAGGGGGACAAGAGAGATTGTAAAAATTATAGAGGAATAAGTTTACTGAGTATACCAGGAAAAGTGTACGGTAGGGCTATAATTGAAAGAATTAGAGGTAAGACAGAATGTAGGATTGCAGATGAGCAAGGTTTCAGAGTGGGTAGGGAATGTGTAGATCAAGTGTTTACATTGAAACATATATGTGAACAGTATTTAGATAAAGGTAGGGAAGTTTTATTGCATTTATGGATTTAGAAAAGGCATGTGATAGAGTGGATAGGGGAGCAATGTGGCAGATGTTGCAAGTATATGGAATAGGTGGTAAGTTACTAAATGCTGTAAAGAGTTTTTATGAGGATAGTGAGGCTCAGGTTAGGGTGTGTAGAAGAGAAGGAGACTACTTCACTGTAAAAGTAGGTCTTGGACAGGGATGTGTAATGTCACCATGGTTGTTTAATATATTTATAGATGAGGTTGTAAAAGAAGTAAATGCTATGGTGTTCGGGAGAGGGGTGGGATTAAATTATGGGGAATCAAATACAAAATGGGAATTGACACAGTTACTTTTTGCTGATGATACTGTGCTTATGGGAGATTCTAAAGAAAAATTGCAAAGGTTAGTGGATGAGTTTGGGTGTGTGTGTAAAGGTAGAAAGTTGAAAGTGAGCATAGAAAAGAATAAGGTGATGAGGGTATCAAATGATTTAGATAAAGAAAAATTGGATATCAAATTGAGGAGTATGGAAGAAGTGAATGTTTTCAGATACTTGGGAGTTGACGTGTCAGCGGTTTGGTTTTATGAAGGATGAGGTAAATCTTAGAATTGATGAGGGAAAAAAGGCGAGTGGTGCGTTGAGGTATATGTGGAGTCAAAAAACGTTATCTATGGAGGCAAAGAAGGGAATGTATGAAAGTATAGTAGTACCAACACTCTTATTTGGGTGTGAAGCTTGGGTTGTGAATGCAGCAGCGAGGAGGCGGTTGGAGGGAGTGGAGATGTCCTGTCTAAGGGCAATGTGTGGTGCAAATATTATGTAGAAAATTCAGAGTGTGGAAATTAGGAGAAGGTGTGGAGTTAATAAAAGTATTAGTCAGAGGGCTGAAGAGGGGTTGTTGAAGTGGTTTGATCATTTAGAGAGAATGAATCAAAGTAGAATGATATAGAGAGCATTTAAATCTGTAGGAGAAGGAAGGTGGGGTAGGGGTTGTCCTCAAAAAGGTTGGAAGGAAGGGGTAAGGGAGGTTTTGTGGGCGAGGGGCTTGGACTTCCACCAAGCGTGCATGAGCGTGTTCGATAGGAGTGAATGGAGACGAATGGTATTTGGGACCTGACAATCTGTTGGAGTGTGAGCAGGGTAATATTTAGTGAAGGGATTCAGGGAAACCGGTTATTTTTATATAGCCGGACTTGACTCCTGGAAATGGGAAGTACAATGCCTACACTCTAAAGGAGGGGTTTCAGGATATTAGCAGTTTGGAGGAATATGTTGTGTATCTTTATACGTATATGCTTCTAAACTGTTGTGTTCTGAGCACCTCTGCAAAAACAGTGATTATGTGTGAGTGAGGTGAAAGTGTTGAATGATGACAAAAGTATTTTCTTTTTGGGGATTTTCTTTCTTTTTGGGTCACCCTGCCTCGGTGGGAGACGGCCGACTTGTTGAAGAAGAAGAAAAAAAAAATCTTTTATTTCTTCTTTTTGGGGCACCCTGCCTTGGTGGGAGATGGCTGGCGTGTTAAAAAAAAAAAAGTGTAAATATGGTTACCTGATGTAATTCTTGTTCTTTCTCTTTAAAAAGGTAGTCCAGTTCTGTTTGAATAAATGGATACAGCAACACAAGCTGCTTGTCATTTTGGTTTGTTGGGCACTCCGCCCCAGACATCACCGATGCTTGATTGCCTCCCAAAGGCAAAATGAATTATGGTTTTCATCACTGTCATGAAAATGAAAGCAGATGCTGCAAAAGCAACTGATATATGTCAGTTCAAGAAGGTTGACAAGACTACCATACTGGTCACATGGGGCAACAAGAGATCCTTCTTGAGGTCCCCAAGACTGGCAGCAGGATGGGCATGAACCAAATCAACACTTGCAAGGCAGTTTTTAAGGAGTGGAATGTCATGGATCATGTATGAGGCATAGTATTTAACCCTTTCAGGGTTTCGGCTTACACACCAATGTCCATGACGTACTAGTACACATAAATTCTAGCGCCTTCAAATTTAGTGAGAGAAAGCTGGTAGGCCTACATATGAGAGAATGGGTCTATGTGGTCAGTGTGCGCAGTATAAAAAAAATCCTGCAGCACACAGTGCGGAATGAGAGAAAAAAAACTTTGTGTTTTGGGATTAAAACAGCGACTTTGCACTATATTTTCGTATGGTATTTATTGTTGTATTCTAGTTTTCCTGGTCTCATTGTATAGAATGAAAGACATTACAGAAATTGAGATGATTTTGACTGGTTTTACAATGAAAAGTGCCTTGAAATTGAGCTCAAAGTAGCAGAAATGTTCGATTTTTACCAAAGTTCAAAAGTAAACAAATCATGCTAAGCGTCCAATACACGTCAGCTGGTGAGTCTAATATTCTTTCACAAGTGCGCCGATATTATTTATACCATTTCTACACTAATGCAGTAGTCTGCATAACAGTAAATTTAATTTTTTTTTGTGAGAATAAAAATTAAAAGTGGAAAGCAAAAGAAATGTAAGAGGGACCTGGGGACGTGACTAATGAACAGAGGAAATGTTATTTTAGTGCCAGGAATGTCTTTCTTGTTTATTCTGGACCCTATTTGGAAATTAGTATCTTTTGAAATTTGTGTGAAATTGGCAAAATTGCTAAATTCTGACCACTGTATTGGATAGTTGAAATTGGTAAATGGGTGGTTTCTTGTACTCATTCGATAGAAAAAATGGAGTTCTAGCAAAATAGTTATGATTTTTGTCGACTAGTACATTGGAATTGGCCAAAAATAGGGCTCAAAGTGGGCAAAATCGCCAATGCGTAAACATCATTGAGACAGCTAACTTCGCGAGAGCATAATTCCCTAAGTTTTCCATCAAATTTCATACTTTCGGTGTCATTATGATCGGGAAAAGATTCTCTATCTTTTCATAAGAAAAAATAATTTTTTTTTTAAATTTGGGGGACCCTGAGAACAAGTCTCTGAGAGGGCCTGTGGACCCTGAAAGGGTTAACACCACTGCCTCCAATACTAGTTTGTTCAAGGGAGCTTAAAAAAAAAAAAAAAAAGGTTGCCATTAAGAGGGAAATTATTTGGAGTGCTTGCCATCACCTTATTTTGGAAATGGTTCTATATCTCCTTTTTCTTCAAGAAGTATGGGCCATCCGGTGGCCCCAATATCCCCTTGTCTGTTCAATATAAAAATTAATGATAATTACTGATAGATTCTGCTGGAAGATAACCAGTGATGAAGATTTCATGGAAGAGTTCTCCTGTTCAGAGCAGGATTCAAAGAAAGGGCATTAATGGATCTGAAGGCAGTGATCAAGTCGAAGGCTCACCCCAGGGACGATTACATGGAAGTCTCAGTCCTGTTGTATAACTCGCTGAGGGAGGTTCTAGAAGGAACCATAAAGATTGGGGTACCTGGAGCCATCCATCAAGCCAGATGGATAGCAAAGGCATTTTATGATGTGAAGATCTTCCTCCCTAGAGAACAGTTCTCCATCACTGTTCATGAAATGTGTGCAGTGTGAATTTTAGCCTCCTCATTTCTCTCCTCATTAGGTACCTGCATCAAGCAATGATCACAGGGCCCAAATCATGAAGGATCTTGAGAGGAATTCTTCATCATCAGTTGATGAATGCTGCCCTCATAGCATTCAAATTCTAACTGTGGGATGTGTATAAGGAACAGATCAGTCTTGGGTTCTTCGATGACCGGATTGGAGAAGAGATGGCTGCAATGGTCAAGAATCTTGAGAAAGAGAGAGCAGAAGAGACTGAAAAGGCATTTTCCTCTTACAAGCCACTTTACAACTTCATGGCACCAAGGACCAGGAATATCTTCAATAGAATTCTTCTGAATGGACATTAACCCTCAAACGGTCCAAATAGATTGACATTCAAATCCGTAGTGCTCCAAAAGTAGATCTATGATTTTTTTTTACATATTTTCAAATATAACAAAAAAAAAAGTAGATAAAAGCTTTTTTTACACATTTTCAAATGTAAAAAAAAAAGATGATGAACATTTTTTTACATACTTTGAAATGTTGAAAAAACATATATATATATATACACGTTTGGACCGTTTAAGGGTTAAGAATGAGAGTCCTTCCTTGCCAGAGTACCTTTTTTACTTCAACGAACCGGCCTCCCTCACTTTGCTGAAGTTTGAGAGTGAGTGTGCCGAGAGAGGCATTGCTCTGATATCAAAATACAACTCATCCATCACCAAGGAAGAGACCCAGAAACAATGAGTAATGACTCAGCACAGGAAGGACAAACCCTCCACATCAAAAGTTTTATGCCTGAAATAAATTACTGTAATGCTGCTCATTTTATTCTTTTTTTTTTTTGTGATGACCAGAAAGCTGAACTTATGTGAGATCCCTAAATATTAAAATAGGAATTGAAATTTTACCTGAAGAAATGTTTGAGGTAAAATTCCAACTGTGGGATGAAATTTTGACTTAATTTTTGGACTAACCTAACGTGTATACAGGCAGGTAATCCATGTATAACTGATCTAAAAAATGCAAGAAGTACAGTGGTACCTTGGGATACAAACAGCTCAAAATGTGAACAATTATGTAAGTGTATTTATGTAAGTGCTTTTGTAAGGGTATTTTTGGGGGTCTGAAAAGGATTAATCTAATTTACATTATTCCTTATGGGAACAAATTCATTCGGTATCAGCACTCGAATGGCCTTCTGGAATGAAATAAGTTCGTATCCCGAGGTACTACTGTATATGAAAAGCCAAAAAATAGTATTTGCAGCAGAGAAAAGGCCAATTATATATTTTTTTTTTTCAACAAGTCGGCCATCTCCCACTGAGGCAGGGTTACCCAAAAAAAGAAAGAAAATCCCCAAAAAGAAAATACTTTCATCATCATTCAACACTTTCACCACACTCACACATTATCACTGTTTTTGCAGAGGTGCCCAGAATACAACAGTTTAGAAGCATATACGTATAAAGATACACAACATATCCCTCCAAACTGCCAATATCCCAACCCCCTCCTTTAAAGTGCAGGCATTGTACTTCCCATTTCCAGGACTCAAGTCCGACTATATGAAAATAACCGGTTTCCCTGAATCCCTTCACTAAATATTATCCTGCTCACACTCCAACAGATCGTCAGGTCCCAAGTACCATTCGTCTCCATTCACTCCTATCTAACACGCTCACGCACGCTTGCTGGAAGTCCAAGCCCCTCGCCCACAAAACCTCCTTTACCCCCTCTCTCCAACCCTTTCGAGGGCAACCCCTACCCCGCCTTCCTTCCCCTATAGATTTATATGCTTTCCATGTCATTCTACTTTGATCCATTCTCTCTAAATGACCAAACCACCTTAACAACCCCTCTTCTGCCCTCTGACTAATACTTTTATTAACTCCACACCTTTTCCTAATATCCACACTCTGAATTTTCTGCATAAATATATTTACACCACACATTGCCCTTAGACAGGACATCTCCACTGCCTTCAACCGTCTCCTCGCTGCTGCATTTACCGCCCAAGCTTCAATTATATTAACAACTACAATTCAAATAAAAGTAACTTATCAGAGTTAATGCTAATTTGTAATTCCATTGTCCAAAGAATTAATAAATCAACATAAAACATTGCTCACCTTTCAGTTCCTAGTGATTTGGGCTTTTTGCCAGTTACAATGTGATTAGTATCAGGGTTTTGTTTCAGTAACATTTCCTGCAAAAACACACAAATTATTTAATATAAAAAATATTCTTGAAAATAAACCCTCAGAGCAGTATTTTATATCACTATACAGGAACAATTACATTTTGCATACCTGGTATATAAATATAAATGACCTATTTCAGCAAAACTTTAAAAAAAAATTTAAAATACACATAATAGCTGCCTTTGCGAGAGTATTATTATTGTTGATTAGTAATATCAAAATTTTCCAACATGCATAACTTTTATTTTTTAACACAGGCTATCTCCCACCAAGCTACGGTGACCTCAAGAAAAGAAGAAACATTTTCACCATCATTCACTCCATCACTGTCTTGCCAAAGGAATGTAGATACTACAGTTTAGATGCTCCTCCAAACCACAATATCCCTACTCCTCCTTCAGAGTGTAGGCAATGTACTTCCCACCTCCAGGACTCAAGTCTAGCTAACCATTTTCCCTGAATATAAACATTAAAATATCATTTAGAGTTTCTTAGGGAATTAGGTGCAAAACTACAAAAAAATTACATATGCAAAGTTAAAAAATATGAAAATGATAAAAAATACAGACAAGTTGATAAGTAAGATACACATGCAACAGTTAGGTATCTTTATCTGAAACATTTTGCCTACACAGTAGGCTTCTTCAGTCGAGTACAGAAGAGTTTAGCAGAAGCAATAGAAATGTGAAGATGATGTAATCAGTCCATCGCCCTTGAAGATGTACCTTCTGACAGTATATGTCTCCATACTGCTGCTTAAACTTCACATTGTTCCAGACTATGGAGCAAAACTCTTCTCCAGGCTGAGGGACTGACCATCTCAAAACTACATTTTCAAGGGTGATGGGCTGATTACATCATCTTCAGATCTCTACCGCTTCTGTTAAACTCTTCCATACTCAACTGAAGAAGCCTACTGTGTAGGCAAAACATTTCGAATAAAGATACCTAACTGTTGCACATGTGTCTTACTTATCAAAGTTAAAAAAGTACATGTAGCATAAAGGTTTATTTTGATTATGGTGAACTGCTTAACACCCAGGGATCATACAGTACCTGAGGAGAGAGAGGAAACAAAGTCTGATCCAAGGAAGGTGGGGTTAAATCCAATTCCTTGGATAAAAAGCCTCTCATTGGCATCAAGACATCCTTTGAGGGGACCACAAATGGTTGTGATTTGAAATAATATGAGAAAATTATCAGCTACAGTCAGTGTTTACATTTGCATCACAGCATCAAACCTTAACAGTAGTATTACCACATTCATGAGGGGTAGCACTAAACCCGTATGGGTTGTACAGCACCTGGGGCCATGGAAGGCATTCAGGTTCGTCTCAAGTAATCAGAGATAGGTCCAATTTCCTACATTAAGAGCCCTTCACTAGAATCAAGGAACTTCCCTTGAAGGGGAAGGTGCCTTAGGCTGGGTATGGGGGACGAGGAAGGGAGGAGAGTATCCTTGATATCCCTGTACTGACAGTAATTTTTGTCTTAGATCATTGACCTTGAAACTGTCCAAATGTAAAGCATGTCCTGCAGCTTGCAGAAGTGTTGCCGATATACCTTTTTTTCTTGTTTTTATTTTAATTTATATAATTTTTATGTTCTGTTATTACAATTTATAATAGTTCTTGTGATTTCATAGCCAAACTTTGTTCTGACACTAATATCAGGTACTGAAATAGTACTCAAATAGTCACAATCACACAGACAGGTGAACATTTTCACCTGCCTTGGTCATTTACTACTGTCTAGAAATATATACAAAGTATTTATAGGTCTCAGCAATGTTTTAGACATGCTGGGGTATATATTTAACTCCTTGAAGCATGGTGTTATGATGAGTGTCACTAAACTGCTGACAGTGTAGGAATGGAGTGAGTGATGCTTGATGATTGTGCACTGCTGCAGGGAACCCTGGCTTTATTTGTTTTCACTGTTACACACACACAAACATGTCTGTCTGTCTGTCTATCTATCTCTGCCTATCTGTCTGTCAAGCTCTGCTTATCTGTCTTTCTCTCTGCTTGTGTGTCTCAGTTTTTCTGTCTGCCTGTGTGTGTGTGTCTTTCTGTCTGCCTGTGTGTGTGTCTTCCTGCCTGCCTGTGTGTATATGTCTTTCTGTCTGCCTGTGTGTGTATCTTTCCTTCTGCTTGTCTCTCAGTCTCAGAGAGCAGCTTGTAAACCAACGGGTATTACACATAATGCAGTAATCACGTCTGATTCCTGACTCAAGAAATCGTAATGACACGATTGCAAATAAACCATACCCCCAGCCGGGATTGAACCCGCGGTCATAGAGTCTCAAAACTCCAGCCCGTCGCGTTAGCCACTAGACCAGGTAGCCACAATAAGATTCATACAACTAGGTATATTTCTACACCATAGGAAGGTTAGCACAGGCACCTCTGTGACCACAAATGCAAGTTTTTACAGACGAATCTCCAGCTAGCGTGGCCGTGACGAACACTGGCTCAAGTCCCTTCACTGCCGTCAACATGACTCAAGAAATTGTGTCATTACGATTTCTTGAGTCACGTTGACGGCAGTGAAGGGACTTGAGCTAGAGTTCGTCACGGCCACGCTAGCTGGAGATTCGTCTGTAAAAACTTGCATTTGTGGTCACAGAGGTGCCTGTGCTAACCTTCCTATGGTGTAGAAATATACCTAGTTGGATGAATCTTATTGTGGCTAGCTGGTCTAGTGGCTAACGCGACGGGCTGGAGTTTTGAGACTCTATGACCGCGGGTTCAATCCCGGCCGGGGGTATGGTTTATTTGCAATCGTGTCATTACGATTTCTTGAGTCATGTTGACGGCAGTGAAGGGACTTGAGCTAAAGTTCGTCACGGCCACGCTAGCTGGAGATTCGTCTGTAAAAACTTGCATTTGTGGTCACAGAGGTGCCTGTGCTAACCTTCCTATGGTGTAGAAATATACCTAGTTGGATGAATCTTATTGTGGCTAGCTGGTCTAGTGGCTAACGCGACGGGCTGGAGTTTTGAGACTCTATGACCGCGGGTTCAATCCCGGCTGGGGGTATGGTTTACGTCTGATTCCTGATGAACTGAAAATGCATATTACCTGCCAGTCATGCTTAGTATGCATTATATCTACAAGCATTGTACAGCACTTTGCCTGGAATTTTTGGGTTATCTTAGGTAATTTACACTATGTATAATAACTACTTATGTGTAAATGCAAGAGTGACAGACAGATGGAGACAGACAAAGATATTGACAGACACAGACAGACAGCCAAAGTCAGTCAGTCGGTCGGTCGGTCGGCCAGCCAGCCAGCTGGCCACCCAGCTGGCCAGCCAGCCAAATACATATTATACATGTTCCAGAATCGTTTCTCTATACTACTTAGGCCATAGGTTATAGGACATTCTGGCAGGATGACACTACCAGCGGTATCAAAAATGAAAGGATGTTGCACAAATGTTACACATGGGTTATTATCGAAGTTTTTTATATTTCCTTGACCACTTATGGCCACATCTATCACTGTCCACTTAAAACGAGTGTTAATATGACATGACATCAATGAATCCCTGGTGTTTGCCAAGCTATTTGCTCTAGCTGGCGCTCAATTGACTGGTGCTCTCACAAGGTACGAAGTGGTCCCAGATTTTTTTAATACTGTGCACACCGACTGTTAAGACCCATTCTATACTGACAAGGCATCTCAGGCCAATCATGTCAAATTTGGAGGCAGAAAAAATAAAATGTAGATCTACGTTTGGAGTGCTAGCGGTACAAATGTAGATCTACGTTTGGACAGTTTAAGGGTTATCTGAATATACAGTAACTACAAAGATAAACTGAAAAAATAATTAAAACTTCATTACACAAATATGGAATCGGTCCCTCAATCACATTCCATGAGTAAATTATAAAATATGTCTCATCTATATGCCATAGATTTTACCAATAATTCTGGTGTTAAATGAACATTTACAAGCAGTAATTTTCTGAATATTCTCAAACTTGCAATTTTCCCTACCTTAACCCGTAAACGCTCCAAACGTATATATACGTTCACTACCCCAGTGCCCCAAATATTTTGAAAAATCAAAAAATCTTTTTTTTTTTTTTTGAAAAAAAAAAAGGGCACATTTTTCTTAGTGTTACAGGATAAAAAATTTTTTTTTTAGGGTCAGTACTTACCGAGATATGAGGCCGCAAAGTTGGCACTTGGAGATCACCTGGCGGCAACATGGAGCGCTGCTGCTTGCAGAAGTGTTGCTGATATATCTCTTTTTCAATTTTTCATATTTTATATAATTTTTATGTTCTGATAATTACACACATTTATTCATACACACTCATCTGAGTTTTCTTTGATTTTATCTTAATAGTTCTTGGTCTTATTAATTTTCCTTTTATATCCATGGGGAAGTGGAATAAGAATCTTTCCTCCGTAAGCCATGCGTGTTGTAAAAGTCAACTAAAATGCCGGGAACAATGGGCTAGTAACCCCTTTTCCTGTAAAGATTACTAAAAAGAATAAGAAGAAGAAAATTGTCAAAGTGGGAAGTCTGAATGTGCGTGGATGTTTGTGCAGATGATAAGAAAGAGATGATTGTGGATGTTATGAATGAGAAGAAGTGGATGTCCTGGCTTTAAGTGAAACAAAGCTGAAGGGGGTGGGAGAGTTTCAGTGGAGAGGAATTAAATGGGATTAGGTCGGGGGTTTCAAATAGAGTTAGAGCTAAAGAAGGAGTAGCAATAGTTGAAGGATAAGCTAGGGCGGGAAAAAGGGGGGACAAATAAATGTTTAAATTTTAAGGATTATGTGGAGTAAAATAAAGATTGGATGTGAAAAGTGGGTTATAATAAGCGTGTATGCCACCTGGGAAAGAGAGAAGTGTAGAGGAGAGAGAGAGTTTTTTTTGGGAAATGTTGAGTGAATGCGTGGGGAGTTTTGAATCAAGTGTGAGAGTAATGGTGGTTGGGGATTTTAATGCTAAAGTGGGTAAAAATGTTATGGAGGGAGTAGTA